ACCAAAAATTTCCTATTGGAGGACTAATTGGATACGGAAATTCCTGTATGATTACTTTATGCAAACTCAAAATTTTTTGACTACATGCAATTCTACATGACTCTGCTGGATCTGTGAAATCTAATACGAAAAAAGGTCCTGGTTATTGTTATGTTGCACCTAGTCTCCCCAGTTCATGCTTTGTTGGTCACGTGACTGGATTATTTTTCTGTTTATATGTTAAAATATTTGCTTCATCAGTATATGCATCGTTTGATTGTTAATCATTTCAACCAAAAAAACTCCAGAGAAAACAGTTAAAAGAATGAGTCTGGTTGTTTTGGATATTGAATGAATTGAAAACAATACAGTGAAAGAGTTAGGAGTTTATAAGAATGGACACACTGTAGGATATTCCTTTCTTCCTATTCCTTTCTTCCTCCCAAAAAGTTCAAACCAACATCCCAATCTTTTTGGTGTACACAGCATCTTCGTGGAATCAATTGGAGCAGTGGTTACGAAAAATATACTGAACTTGAAAAAATATTGAAAAATCTAGAAGCCACAGAAACGGACCCTTTTGCAAAAGGTTATGAAAAATGTAAGATTCTGTCAGAATTTTTGGAAACAAAGATTATTATCTTGGATGACTACGCTTGCCCTAAAGTTCAGTTTTTGATATTCAAAAATTAAAAATATGATTGGAAGTGTAGCAACTACCCAAATTGTCATGCAAAAACTCTTCACTGTGCAGAAAGAAAAGCATTTGCATTCGGAACATGGATGTTTTTTTAAACAAATTGTAAATTATATTAATCTTAATAAACTACCATTTTCAAACTTTAATTAAATTTCATTGTCAACTTTTTCTTTTTAGAGTTAGGATGGTCGATCAATGTGACAAGCCCGTAAATTTAGGAGATTTCGTTTTTGAGGAAGGCAATCATGAACGAAAATCATGAAAATTGTTTGGACGTACATGTGATAGATCTCTTTTATTTTTTGTGCCAATTTTTTGTTATAGTTTTGATGCTAGTATGAGCAATCGTTCGAATTATGTTATCCACAATATGTGAAGAAACAACAGTTTGGGTAGCTATCTTATCAAGTACAGTCGGTTATATTCTACCTTCTCCAAAGCTATGAATAAAATAATATCTACCAAAGAGCGAATTTTTATTTCCCTAGTTGGACCAAGTGGATCTGGAAAATCTCATCTTATTTTTTATTGGTTAAAAATTGGTACTTTTAAGCCAGCTTTCGACAACATTTTTTATTTTTATCAACATTATCAACCTCTTTATAGTCAAATGCAAAGAAAAAACCTTAAATTTATCCAAGGAGTAGATTTTGACTTGATTGAAAATCTTCCCAATAACGGAACTAAGTATTTGCTTATATTGGATGATTCTTTAAGAAATTTCAAACTCCAAACAATTTGTAAAAATTGCCACTGCTGGGAGATGCATGTTTTGCATCCAATAGATGGACTTCCTCAAAATAAGCAGCATCAATGGCATTTTGAGCTAGCATTGCTTATCCAATAGATGGGCTTCCTCAAAATAAGCAGCATCAATGGCATTTTGAGCTAGCATTTCTCACGTTTTGCATCCAATAGATGGACTTCCTCAAAATAAGCAGCATCAATGGCATTTTGAGCTAGCATTGCTTATACATCTATGTCCCCAACCGAATGCTCATTGCTTCTGAAACAACATGTCAAAAAATGAACACTTTTATTGCAAAATGATAAGCAATAACAGGATTTACATGTGGGACATGCTATTTTGTCTTGTATAAGTTTTATTTACAGAATTAAATGTAACAATAATAATAACTTCATTCGCACCCCTTCAGCATAACGAAACATCACCGTGCTTGCAACCTGGACGAACTTTGGAGCTATTTTACTGACAACCACCACCTGTTCAAAGCGATTGTCAACTGTCAGGGAGGAAAACACTCAAAAAATCTTCCAGAAACTTTTCGGGTTTTCAAGTTACAAAAAACGTCATCTCCAGACGGAAGCAGCAGTACAGCTGGGTGGCGAAGCAGTACTGTGAACTGCACCAAGCTGTGGAACTTGATCTGCACGCCCTTGCATCGGGAGACACAGAGACAATTCCGTACTCAGTTTATCAAATACAAAGTACACTTCCAAGAAAACATAAATTGGAACAAAAGCAAGAAAAAGAGGAAATTGTACCAAAAAATTTTGATTCTGTTCACAGTGCTGTAAATGCGATTTGAAAACGAGCAACAATAAGCACATTATTGATTTAATTTTGAATTCTCCCAGTCAGACAATATTATATTAGATGTTAATTATTATTATTTCGTACACTAAAGCGAAAAAATACCGATTTTCCAGATATTTACTTTACTATTTTGAAAGCAACTCAACTTCCTCCTAAACTTGTTATTAACAAGAATGCCAAAGCAAAAGATAGAGGAACTTGGATCCCTTTCAAAATCTGAAAAGAAAAGACTAAACAGATTGTTTTCTAGGTGTACAGCTGCGTACGGTTCTATTCAAAACTTGAGTAAAGCGAGTGGTTTACCAAAAAAGAAAGTAGAAAAATTTTTACAAACCAAGAAATCTTATACAAAACTTGGTCCACCAATCAGGTGTTTCCGAAGACTTCAAGCTTTTTCTAAATACAACAATGAAATCTGGTGTATGGACTTGGCTTTTGTAGACAAGTTAGCTAGTCGAAACAATGGAAACAAGTATTTATTAGTTGCTGTAGATATTTTTTCGAGATTTGTCAGAGTTCAAACAATGAAAACAATGTATGCCACAGACACTTAACAAGCTTTCAGGAAAATGATTTCTCGAAAAAAAACACTCCTGAAAACTTTGGGTTGATGAAGGAACAGAATATGGGGGAACTTTTAAAAAAATTTGCAAGGAGAAAGACATTGAAGTTTACTCAACAATGGGTGAAACAAAAGCTGCATTTGCAGAGAGAGCAATTCAGTCTTTAAAACATATAATATATCGTTACATAGAAGATCATGGTGAAAAATTTGCAGCAATTTGTTTCCACATTGAACCGTCGCAAAAATCGATCAATTGGAAAATCTCCCAGAGATGTGAAAAACAGTGATTTTTTATCACTATTGTATAACAAATTGTTCAAGAAATATACTAAACCAAAATTCAAAATTGGTGATAGAGTTAGAATTTCGAAAAATGATATTCCGTTCCGAAAAGGACACAAGCCACAGTTTACAGATGAAATTTCGGCAATATCTACAAAAAAGCCTCCTACTTACAGTACCAGCGATATAAAAATGCATATATATCAGCAATGAAGTCATAAATTAGCATTAAATGCATCGTCGTAATGTTAATTTATCTTAGCCGTCCTTCCTCTACAATAGCGCTTATGGAGTTGTCAATAAATTGAACTTTGCGTAGCGATCTGCACCCCCTTATACAAAGTATAGAGCTCCTCAGGAGCGCGAAGCTTATTTTAGTTCTTATGTAGTTTATAGATTCTGGATAGCTTTCTTGTCTTTTTTCACTTACTTTTTCGGCTAATCGCTGCATCGTCCGCGTGGATGTTGGAGCAACGCCACCTGTGCATCCAAAAATTAGCGGGCAGAAGCTACTCTACTCTACGTTTAAAATTCTTTGCCGATATTTGGAGTTCTTCAGCGTTTCGTGGTATTTGTATGCATCCTTATGCAGTTTTCGCGATGATTTGGCATGGGGGTTGAAAATTTTCACATCGAAGAAAGCGCGGCTGAATCGTGAACGCCAGAGTCCGTTTGCCTTAATGTCAAGTCGTGCCTCATCTTCAGTTGTAGTTGAATTGTTGACAAAGCTTTCGCCTTGCAACGGCTGAAGTTTCGGCTCAATCTCGACGTCATGGCAAACCTCGTTCATGAGGTTGGCGGATGTGTCTCTAATTTCATTGTGTCTTATGTGTGTGTAACCACCCTTTGCACAATGAAGCGTATGTGTCAAGTTAAAATTAGCACCACATGCACATGTGAGTGGGGTTTTGGTTGGTTCCCATCCGTATCGTAAGTAAACACCATCTCTGAACTCTGATTTATTCAGGTTGAAGTTGTATCTGCTCAGTGGTAAAGCATTGAGCCAGTTAGAGGCTCCCTTTTCAGAAGCCAGGTCGATTGCGTATTTGTCTGTTTCATTTAAGGAGTTAATGAGGTTTGTTTTTTTTCGATTTGTTCTATCAGTTTTCAATTTTTTGATTTTCGTACATATTTTTTCTTGCTGTGTTACTGCTGTAATAGGATCTTGAGATTCCAGTACAAGTGCTGTTTCCTTAGACCATTCTAGGTAGCTTTCATGATCGGATGGCAGCTTGATGTTAAGTCCGCCCATTTTAAGGGGTAAGGAAGATATCTCACGGAACTGGGGGTTTAAAGTGTCTTTACCGACTAGGTTAGGTAATAATTGTTCTTTGATAATATTTTCACATATTTCTAAGTTTTCCTGGCAAGAAATGAAAGCTTTTCTTGAACTCCTTTAGTATAGCAGGCATAAACGTTTTGAGGGGAGTTTTTAGCAATTTTCGTTAGTTTTTTCAAAATTTTGATTTGCTCATTCTGAACAAGATGTATTTCTTGTTAATCGAATCGAGAAATACATCGACATCAGTGAGCCTATCGGATTAAAAAGAAGATTGATCAAATCCATGGGGAAATTTGTTGACGAACGATTCTCAGAAACAAATGTCTGCACGTGGCAACTCGCTTGCGATTGCAAGAGATGCAGAAATATTTGGACTTTATTTTAATATTTTACAACTGGGACCATGCGCCCGCCCTTCAGCTAGCTGTAAATCCTAAACAACAACTACCTAAAAGTAAACATCCATACAAATATATCACGCAACTCGTATTCAAACCAAGGTTTGTTTGCTTTAATGAGCGGGTTCATAAATGTGTCTGAGAGTATGAACCCACAAATTCTAGGCAAACAGTTCCCGAAATTTTCCCTCCAATGAATTTGAGAAAACTTGAGTAAAAATTCGAGCTATCACTACCTTGGGCTAGGTCTCCCGTCCTTTTCAGCAACAAAACTTCTATCACATTCAACCACTCGGATCGATGACGGTTCCGCATCAGTCACTGGAGCATTTGATGGATGTAGTTTTGCTCTCGCATTCTTCACTGACATTTGGTTGGCTCGTTTTTGAATCGTTGTGTTCTCATGCTTTGAGTGCCCATTACAATTTGGAATTATTGTAGCTTTCGGTTTTTTGACCGAATAAACATTTCTGCACTTTTCTCGAATTGCAGCGACAGCATTGGCCTCCTTCGCTTTCACTTCCTCTGCTTCGCGCAATTCCTTCAACTTTCGAGCAACAACCCTAAAACGACATATGATTGACTACGTAGATCTCTGACGAACTTTCAAGTACCGAAAAATGTGTTGCTATTTTGACAAATTTTGTGAGCTGTAGGGTTTAGCTTTGAGTTTTGGAGGATTGCTTTCACATGTACGTTCAATTTACGGATTGTTACACCCTTCCAAACGAAGCTCTGGAAATTAATGCAATTCACCTCTCGTTCAACCGTTTCTGAAACTCGTTCAGTCTCTCTTCCTTCTCACGTTTTGCATCCAATAGATGGACTTCCTCAAAATAAGCAGCATCAATGGCATTTTGAGCTAGCATTGCTTATACATCTATGTCCCCAACCGAATGCTCATTACTTCTGAAACAACATGTCAAAAAATGAACACTTTTATTGCAAAATGATAATCAATAACAGGACATGCTATTTTGTCTAGTATAAGTTTTATTTATAGAATTAAATGTAACAATAATAATAACTTCATTCGCACCCCTTCAGCATAACGAAACATCACCGTGCTTGCAACCTGGACGAACTTTGCAGCTATTTTATTCAAGCACTTTCCCGCGATTGTAAATCGGTCGTTAGCCTAATTGTTGTGATAAACTTATTAAATAGTTTCAAATAAATGGAATGAGTGAGCAGCGATGACCGGACGATCCGTTCGATCAAATTCATCACCATGCGGGAACCAACGATGCAGATTCGGGGGACTCGTTGTTCAGAAAGGAGTCTTTTGCGGAATCTGCCTTCACTGGTTCCACTATTCCTGTGCAGGGACAACAGAAAGATACGTGAACAACATCCCACGAGAAGAACACTTCGTGTGCCCGACCTGCCGGAATCAGCCATCGGGACTAACGCAGGCGATGAGTGATCTAACACTGCGACCGGACACAACAAAGGAGGACACGAATCCTTGGACGTTCAGGGACCTGCCACCCTACCAGCACATCAATGATGGTAACCTGAAGACAACGAGAGGTATGAATTTGCCACATGATGAGCTGGTTGAATGTTTTCACTCAATCGGAAAACTGCGACAAAATCTATTTGCCCTACCGACTGGCAATGCCGGGAACCAATTCGTCGCAGAGTTGTTGCGCTTATTGCATACCTTTAACAGCAATGTGCCAGGTGCTAAAAGTGCTCTTTTTGCGTTTGCCGTAATTCCCCCACTCCTGTTACAAAAACCAGCTAAGCAATCTAAAAGCCTCGACCACTTGAAAGTTTTGCAACGTAGAATCAACTCTTGGCATGACGGTGATTTATGTATCTTACTGAAAGAATGGAGGGAAATACAGCAACGTTTTGATATCGATATTAACCGGGCCACTGGGCCCAATAAAATTGACGCTAAACGTTATAGCTCCCTTATTTTAAATGGTAAATACAGCACCGCTACCAACATGCTGGAAACTAATAGCAAGCCACTAAAAATTACGACCGAGGTTCTTGACGCGCTTAAACAGAAACATCCAGCTGGAGCAGACATCAAGCCCGGTACAATTCTTCATGGACCTGTCGACAGGCCCACAATAGCCGCTAGCTATAATCTCACGGGCGAGCTCATCCAAAAAACGGCACTCAGGTGTAGTGGAGGGGCCGGGCCATCCGGCGTAGATTCAGTCAACGCTCGTCGCATCCTTTGCTCCAGAAGCTTCACTGGAACAAATGACCTCTGCACTGAGCTTTCTAGTTTGGGTCAGTCCATGATGCGATCCAACATCGACCCTAATGCTTTGGCTCCCCTCCTTGCTTCCCGTGCTATTGCACTGGACAAAAACCCAGGCATCAGGCCTATCGGCATAGGAGACGTTTTCAGACGGATCATCACTTCTGCTATCATGAGCATAAGGAAGGATGAAATCCGTAGCACCGTGGGCCCTCTTCAGACCTGTGCTGGGCACCCCGGCGGCATCGAAGCCGCTGTTCACTCCATGAACACCATATTTCAGAGCACCGAATGTGAGGGCATCCTCTTTGTCGATGCCGAGAACGCGTTCAATAAAATGAATCGAGCCGCTGCTCTGCGAAATGTCCAGGTTTTGTGTCCCAAGCTGGCCAACTTCTTCTCGAACACTTATAGACAGCCTTCCATGATGTTTGCCGGTAGCGAGATGTTTCTTTCTGAGGAAGGGACTAAACAGGGAGATGCTGCGGCCATGTGCCTGTATGGCATCGCCACCATTCCTCTGGTATACATGAAGTCCGACACTAAGCGTGTCTTCTACGCCGACGACGGAGCTGGTGCCGGCAGACTTAAGACCCTCCATAGCTGGTGGAACGCCCTCGCGGAAGAAGGGCCTGGATACGGTTTCTACCCTAACGCTGGCAAAACCTCCCTTGTCGTCAAGCCTGAATTTTTCGATGCCGCCACTCTCCTTTTTGAAGATACTGGTGTTAAGATCGCCACTGGCCGTAAGTATCTTGGAGGATTTGTCGGCGATGAGAGCGAAAAACTGGCTTATACCACTCAGAAATGCCAGGAATACTGCACTCTCGTTGAGAGACTCTCCGAAGTGGCTGAGACTGAACCACACTGTGCTTTCGCTGGATATACTATTAGTCTACAGCGAAAATGGGCATACATCCAACGGGTCGTTGACACTCCCTCCGATACCTGGACCCCCCTTGAATCCTCTATCAAGGATAAGAAGCTCCCCTCTCTCTTCGGATGCGAGATTTCCGACGAAACACGTACTCTGACGTCGCTACCTGTTCAGTTAGGCGGGATGGTTATCGAGAATCCGACGTCTTACGAGCGGTTTCGGTTTACCGGCTCACAGGCAGCCACAGCGTCATTAGCCACGCAAATAATATCGCAGGAAAGTACCCTCCAGACTAATAGCTATAGAGAAGGAGCGCAGTCCATTAAGCGCGCGAAAAGAGAGTTGGAGAAAACAACTCACATTGACCTGATGTCTACAGTCAATGAAGAGCTGAAACTCATCAACTCTGGAGTTTGTGAAAAGGGCGCTTCTCACTGGCTAACGGCAAGACCAGACAGAGATAACGGTTTCTTATTCAGCCGCCATGAATTCCATGATCTTGCAAGGATGCGATGCGGAGTGAACCTCGAACACTTGCCCACGAAGTGTGTCTGTAGCGCAGACTTCAGTATTCAGCACGCCCTTCAGTGCGCTGCCGGAGGCTTTGTCGGACGGCGACACAACGACCTCCGTGACCTTTTAGCTGGCGTCTTGCGTGGAGTCTGTCCGGATACGGAAGTTGAACCTCATCTTCATCCCCTCAATGACAACGATAACGTCAGAGGGAACTTGAATGACGGCGCCAGACTGGATGTTTCTGCTTCGAGTTTTTGGCAGCATGGCCAACGGGCATTTTTTGATGTTAGAGTTTTTAATCCTCTAGCCCTAAGCAATGCTGGCGAACTCGCGCAGATTTATCGTAGACATGAACGCGAAAAGATCAATATGTACCAGCAACGTATTTTGAAAATCGAAAACGGCTCATTTACACCATTAGTTTTCAGCAGTCTGGGCGGCGCCTCCCCTCTTACCTAAATGATGCTATCCCAACTAGCCTTTTTAATTGCCATCAAAAGAAATGCTACCCAATCTGAAGCCATAAAGTGGCTACGCATTCGCATAAATTTTTCTTTAATGAAAAGCATCTTATTGTGCATCCGTGGCACCAGGAAACCTAAATATTTTATATGCACTGATTTTAATTTTAATGACAACCTGTTTAAATAATCCTTCCCGACGCGGTTTCCGGTTTCCACCCGTTTTGTACGTCATCCTCTTACTGTTTTCCTGTTACTGTTCAGACAAGGTAATTTACCATTCTTTTCTCTCAATTTTTACTGACAACCACCACCTGTTCAAAGCGATTGTCAACTGTCAGGGAGGAAAACACTCAAAAAATTTTCCAGAAACTTTTCGGGTTTTCAATTTACAAAAAACGTCATCTCCAGACGGAAGCAGCAGTACAGCTGGGTGGCGAAGCAGTACCGTGAACTGCACCAAGCTGTGGAACTTGATCTGCACGCCCTTGCATCGGGAGACACAGAGACAATTGGTCAGAGTTGCTGACAAAAAGTAGAGGGAAACCTAAACTAATTAAGAAACAGAGAAAGCCAAGGCAAAAGCGCCTGGCAAGAGAGGCTAATCGAATATAACTTATAACTTATTAAATATAACGTATTAAACCCTCCATATAACTTATTAAATAGTTTCATATAACGCTATGCCTGGATCATCAGCTAGAACTCGACTAGCATCGAAGCAGCAGGAGTGCTGCACCATATGTAACATGTCGAAAGGGGAGAAATGGATCTTATGCGAGAAGTGTCAGAGGTGGACACATAATACTTGCATGGGATATTCGAAGGATGAGTTCAAGTTTTTGGAGAGGGCAAATGTGACCTTTACATGTAACAGCTGTCTACAGAACCCTCCAATTGATGCAATTGATACAAAGGAATTGAGTAGGGATGTCACGGAGCTCAAGGAGAGTGTGGAAAAAACTCGGACTATGGTGGAGGAAGTTCTCTCATGTAGACAGCCCCAGCAAACCGTAGCTAAGTATAGCGATAATGTTAAAACGAAAATTGATTATGACCATGAGTTAAGGTTCAGTGGTATACCTGAATATAAGGATGCGGAAAATGAAAATACAGATAGGGTTGATCATTCAAAAATTTTTGAGCATGACGAAAAACTGATACGAAGTGCTTTTGAAAATTTGGGATTAAACTCAATTGAAATTTCATCTTTTCGGCGACTCGGAAAGTTCGAACTTGGGAAAACACGACCCAGGCAGATCCTTGTAAACTTTCGTGACGTTTTATCAGAAGAAAAAATTCTCGCACGCGCCCACAACTTAAAAATGTACGAACCGGAGTATATGGCAAACAAATACGCGATTTTTATTTCGAAATCTTTAAATAAAGAAGAGCAAGCAAAAGAGCAATCATTATTGAAAAAACGCAGAGAGCTACTTAACGAAGGAACAGCGTACACTGATATCAAGATACGAAAAGGCGTTTTATACTTGAAAAACAGGCCAGTTGACATTTCCAACCGACTAAATGATTCAAAATTCGAATTTTCAGCTATGTTTTACAAAATCCGGAGTTTGTTTAAATTATCAAGAAGTCAAGAAATTTCAAATTTTTTAATAGCTAGCCCATATGATTTTGTTTGCATAGCAGAGACTTGGTTACTAAATGAACAAACGGGTTCAGAGCTGTTTTTACCAGAATACCAATGTTTTCGCTCAAATCGTAAATCTCCATTGAAAACTACAGCCCATGGTGGTACCATGATACGCGTTAAATCAAGCTATAACTCCGAACAAGGCTTTTTCGATTGTGAAACAAATGGTTCTG